CGTGGCTCCCCTGTGAAGCCTCAGCCAGTCGTGCCCTGGCTGGGGGGATCTGATGGCTCAGGATTTCGGGGCAGGCTGTAGGGTGAGACCCTGCAGGCTGTGGTGGGTTTTGGGGTGTGTCTGATTGACCCCTCTCAATTGCAGGCTGCACATGGTGCGGCTGATGCTGCTGGAGAGGCTGCTGCAGAACTTACCCCAGCTGAGGAACGTGGGAGGGGTCCGGGCCATCCCCTACATGCAGGTGAGTGAGAAGGGTTCTGATTTCAGCCCTGATCAAACAGCTCAGTCACTGCATTCTGTTTGCTTTTCTCTCTCCTGCCCACAGTGTTGCACTGCWTTCCTTATCCAGAGATCTTTGCTGGGCTTGTGCCCTTTCTTGGTGTGACTTCAGAGCTGCCTGAGGAGCCTGAGGGCTCCAATCCTTGAGCTCCAATGTGTTTGGGAAGGTTTTGGGTTTATGCTGAATGTTCATAGCAAAGTGTGATGGCACAGGCTGGATTTGGAAAAGAACAAAGATAAATCAGATAAAATCTGTTTTGTCAAAGATAACTTTTCATCTTGAAAACCTGCCTTCTAATAATTGTCTGGCTGCTCTTCCCAGGTCATTCTGATGCTCACAACAGACCTGGATGGAGATGATGAGAAAGACAAGGGAGCTCTGGATAACCTCCTGTCCCAGCTGATTGCAGAGCTGGGCATGGACAAGAAGGTAAAGTGCATGCTCTGTGTTTGCTCCTTCTGGACAGGGTTTCCTTCCATGGAGGAATTCAGTGCTTTTGGGAGTCACAGAAACATCTCTGTGTGATGTGTTCAGGCAGTTTATTCCTCTTGCCTCCCTTCACATAAAATTGAAAACGACATGAGAGGAGCTCCTGCTGTTTCCTGGGTCTGGCACCCACAAGAGAGCATGGAAATTTGTTTTGCTGGAATTCAGCTCTGAGAACAGCCATGATCAGTCAATGCATGATTGACATGTAGCTTTTCATTTGTGTGGGACTRTTCTCTGGCAGCCAGGCCACTGCCTACCTTTCCACTGAGGCATTTGTGCTGCTTTTTTAGTCTTTACAGCTTGAGCTTAAATTAGAAATGCTCCCTGAGGATCAGARCACTGAGCTGGAGAGGTTTGGGGCRTTGGGATTGAACAGGCAGGACATGTYTTTCCTTGCAGGATGTGTCCAAAAAAAATGAGCGCTCCCCAGTGAACGAGGTGCACTTGGTGGTGATGAGGCTGCTCAGCGTCTTCATGTCCAGAACCAAGTCAGGATCCAAGACTTCCATCTGTGAGGTACATTCTCCAAATTGCTTTGCCAAGGGGTGAATTCCTGCCCTCTGCTCTGCTCTCAGGTTCCACCTGGAGCCGCAGTTCTGATGTCCCCGATGTGAGAACACACAGAACTGCTGGAGCAAATCCAGAGGAGACTGAGAGGACTGGAGCTCCTCCCAAGTGGAGCCAGACTGGGACAGTTGGGAATGGTCAGGATGGAGAAGAGAAAAGGATGTGGAGACCTCAGAGCACCTGGCAGGGTCCGAAGGGGCTTCAGGGAGCCATAGAAGGAACATTCACTGGGATTGGGAGTGACAGGACAAGGGGTAATGGGTTCAAGCTGAAAGAGGGAAAATTTAGGTCAGATATTGGGAAGAAATTCCTCCCTGTGAGGGTGGAGGGTGCCCAGAGAAGCTGTGGTTGCCCCATCCCTGGCAGTGTCCCAGGCCAGGTTAGATGGGGCTTGGAGCACCCTGGGACAGTGGAAGTGTCCCTGCCYGTGGTAGAGGGTGACACTGGACAATCTTTAAGGTCCCTTCCCTCCCAAACCATTCTGGAATTCCGTGATGTGCTTGGGGGACTTTTGTTCATCAAAGAAACTGAAATAACAGATGTAAAACTGAAAACTCCTTGAGACAGCTTTGGAGAAATTTATAGGGAACCTGTAAGATTACTTGACTCTCACAGATAAAGGGTTTTGGAAGTGGGAATGGAGGCAGCAGCCATATGAACATTATTTTGTGCACAGTCTCAGACTGAGCTCAGGGCAGAGCGTTAATGATGTTATTTCAAACATGCTGGCAGATCTTTTCCCCTCACATCTGCCCAGCGCTGAAGGGGTTAAGGAGGATTTGTAATGTGATTATTGGAAAGCAATATGCTGCTGTGTCAACGTAAAAGTCGCTAAGAGGATTCCTTAGATATTTGTTGCTAAAAGGTGCAGTAATAAGGCATAAAAAGCAGTATGTGTGGTGGGAAGGAGATTAATAAAAAAGCATAGAGGTTAAAAAATTTAGTCTGAACTGCATCAAATTTTAATGAGCTTATGAGCTGTGGGGTTTGTTTGGATTTACAGGGCTGCTTTAATAGTTTTATTTACAGTAGCTTTTTCTCCAGCCTTTGTTATTCGCTTGAGCTTCCCACAGAAATCAAAGCTCCTCGTCTCACAGAATGCAGGTGGAGCAATACCTGGGTGGAGCAGAGCCTGTGAGCGGCAGCTGCAACAGGGACTCTTTCTCTCCCAGGATTCACGCCCAGCTGGCCAAATCCCAGATAAACAAATAGAAATCCCAACTTAAAAAAAAAAAAAAGAAAAGGGGGAAAAAAAAGAAGGGAAAAAAGCCCTCATCGTCTAATCCACAGCAGAGTGGCCTCTGGCACATGTGTCGAGGGGAGATTAGACTTAAGAGGAGATTTTATTTGTTTTCCTTTACTAAGCACTTGTTCAAAAGAGTCTCTGTAAATATTTGAGTTGCTTTTCATAAACACACACACAAAAAAAAAAAAACGAAAAGCCCCAACCTCAAACAAACCCCAAACTTAAAAGCCGCCTGCAAAAAAAAAAAAAAAACGAAAAGCCCCAACCTCAAACAAACCCCAAACTTAAAAGCCGCCTGCAAAGTTTCATCCAAACCTGCTCTCGTGCCCAGGGCTGCCCCAGCTCTTCCCAGGTGTGTTCCTGACCCAGCTCCTTCCCTCTGTCCCAGGCTTCCTCCCTGATCTCCAGTGCCACAGCCGCTGCCCTGCTGAGCTCGGGGGCTGTTGATTACTGCCTGCATGTGCTCAAGTCACTGCTGGAGTTCTGGAAGGGCCAGCAGAACGACGAGGAGCCCGTGGCCACCAGCCAGCTCCTGAAACCTCACACCACCTCCTCTCCCCCGGACATGAGTCCCTTCTTCCTCCGCCAGTACGTGAAGGTGAGTGCTGC